GCTGTAGTTTACTCCTATAATCCCAAGGACTTGGGAGCTGGAGCAGGATAATCACTGGAACCCAGGAGTTTGAGACCAGCCTGGACAACATACTGAGATGCCGTCTCTAAAAAAGAAATTAGCCAGCCATGGTGGAGCACATCTGTAGTCCCAGCTACTCGAGAGGCTGAGGCAGGAAGATCGCTTGATTCCAGGAGTTCAAGCTTGCAGTGAGCTATGATGATGCCACTGCCCTCTAGCCTGGGTGACAGAATGAGACCAAGTCTCTGAAAAAAATAAAAATAAAAATTCTGTAAGCTTCTTGAGTGATCGAAGTAGAGTTCCCTCTGACTCCCATCTCCTTAGCAGACTACGGAAACAAAGCAAGCACTTTGAGACAAATCCTTCTTGAATTGAAATTTTAAAGAATTTTACTCACTCTTGGCAAATAGATGTGAATATGTCTCTGCCTAATTTAACAATAACTTTAAACAAATCTAGATATTCCTCCGCAATATTAGTTTGGCACAGTGTTAAGGGAGAAGTGAAAATTCCTACTTAACCTTTATCTGACTGACCTGACTTTGATTTGACACAGATATATTAATTCAGGGCTTAAAACAATTCAAGCAAAACAATGAACTCATATGTTTTCTAGAACTCAACAAATGTGTTTTTACTCTACTTCTTTCTCTTACACGTTCGAAGACCTTCTTTAGCAGTCAGTTTTATTAATACTTCGAGCCTGATTGCACTTGGGCAGAAAGAGAGAGAGACTCAGACTTCATCAGTGTGGGTTTTTATGTTAGATTAGCAATGTCTAATCTCAGTATTTGTTAACAAGCAAAGGAGAAGAGATATTAATTAAATAGCTGAACTGCCTTCGAATTTTTATCTTTGAGTTTGATTTTCCAAGCTATCAAATAACATTGCATTTTGATTTTAAATAAAATGCCTTTGTAACAAGCACTGAATTTTGTTATTTATGTTTAATCTCAGGTTAAACATATCGCTGAAGACCCTCCGTGTAGTTGTTCGCATCGATTTTCTATTGAGTACTTATCGGAAGGACGGTACCGACTAGGGGATAAAATTCTCTTTATAAGAGTAAGTCCGTTACTTACAGTTACATCCTATTTGCATATAGATTTTGTTTTGAAACTGGGTTGATTGCTTCACCAATCTCCTTTTGCTCCCCTTTTACTTTTTAAAAAATTGGAATAGTGGCTACTATTAATGAAAGAATTTCTCTGTATGGGAAAAATATAGAGTAGTTGCTTTCATGATTATATAATGTGTTTAGGTAAACATTTTTAACACAGCAAACTACTAACTTCAGGATAGCTAAAACTATTTAGACATTGATTATAATTGAGGAAAACAATCTTTTTATAGCCCAGGGAACTTATTCCATTTTTTATAATTTTCTAAAAAGGAAATAATTTTCCATGATAAGATGGAAAGAAACAAGACAAAAACATCTAATAAGATTGGGGGTATCTATAGTAAGAAAAGGAAATAGAAACACTGCAGTTTATAATAATACATACTTTGTACCTCAAGCATAAAATCTTCCCGTATGCTGGTATACATGCTCATTTCCTTCCCTTTTCCCATCTACAAGTTGATTAATTGTTCCCTTTGCTGATAAGGAAATTGAAATTTCACCTGTAGAATTCATTGATTCTTTTTTTAACGTAGTAGTATTATAATCTGATTTACAAATTATAAAGATTCATCATCTTAACAGAATAATCATTTTATGTGATTGTTATGATGATTATGTAGCAACAAGAAAAATATTTATTTTGTGAAAAATATGTATATGTAGATAAACTATAGAAAAAATGAGTATGAAAATAATTGATAGTAATGTAGTACCTTTGTAGATTATTTTATTTTCCTTATTTC